GTGTCACTCCTCTAATGGTTCACAAACACCATAAGCAAGAGGATGAAGAGGAGAGAGGATGGAGGCTACCAAAACTCGTATGAAACCCTAACAAGAAGCTTAGCCACGTTTTTGGTCCTTAAGGGATCTATATATAGTGAGGCAATTAGGGTTATCTAACAAGGAAACCCTAATTTGGATGCTTAAGCCCTAAGCAACCCATGGAGTCCTTTCCTTAAGGCCTTGGACGATTTCATATGGGCTTCCCCATAGAATTCATCCACCTTATAATATAAGGCAATCCATGGCCCAAATTGCAATTATCTTATAATTACAATTCCAGTCCCTTAAGTTTAATTAATCTCTTTTAGTCACAAAACTAATTACCAATTAATTATTGACTAATATTAACTAAACAATATGATTTATCCTTTAATATATTATTCCCATAATATATTAATAAATCATATTTAATCCTTTCTCTCCATAATTCATCCTATCAAGTTGCTTTGGTGAAGGCAACCCAAAAGGACCATGCACCATCGGGTCAAGTACATACCAAAATAGTTATGGACTTAGACACTAATCCAACATCATGGACTATCTCCGGTCCCATAAACTGCTTTTCCCCAGCCTCAAGCCAACAAGACGGCGTACGACACTTCTGTCCGTACAAAGCTTGATAAGGTGCCATCTTTATGCTCGAGTGGAAACTATTATTGTAGGAAAATTCTACCAAAGGTAAATGTTCATCCCAATTACCTTGGAATTCCAGGGTACATGCTCTCAGCATATCTTCAAGTGTTTGTATCATCCGTTCGCTCTAACGATCAGTCTGTGGATGGTAAGCTGTACTTAAACACAACTTGGTACCCAATTCCTCTTGTAGACTTTTCCAAAATCCCAAGGTGAAACGGCTGTCACGATCTGACACAATCGTTAACGGAACACCGTGAAGCCTCACAATTTCCTTTACATAAGAATTTTCATGCTTTTCCATAGACCATTTCTCCTTGGCCGCTATGAAATGCGCACTCTTAGTGAATCGATCAACGACCACCCAAATCATGTCGTGACGACTTTTCGTTCTCGGCAGTTTAGTGACAAAATCCATAGCAATGTCTTCCCACTTACCCATAGGCACAGACAAAGGTTCTAAACTCCCGTACAGCTTCTGATATTGTGTCTTAACTCTCGCACAAGTCACACACTCGGCCGCATACTTTGCAACATCAAGTTTCATCGTCGCCCACGTGTAGTAGGGTTTCAGATCCCTATACATTTTAGTGCAACCGGGATGAATCGAGTACATGGTTTTGTGAGCTTCTTCCATCAGAAGATCTTTGACTCCTCTTATATTAGGTATCCAAATCCGATCTTGGAACACCTTCAGTCCATGATTTTTTATACCGAACACCAACGTTTTTCCTAAACGTTCCTCCTTTCGGTCATTCTTCTCAAAAGCTTCCTCTTGAGCTTTCTTTATACTTTCCACAATGGTCGAGACAACTTCAATTCTCACTGCTCTTGGCCTCTTCCTTTCAAGATTGACTTTCCGACTGAGAGCATCAGCAACAACATTTGCTTTACCGAGGTGGTAAAGTATCTCACAGTCGTAGTCTTTAAGTAACTCTTGCCAGCGTCATTTCCTCATATTCAATTCCTTCTGATTAAAGAGATATTGGAGACTCTTATGATCATTGAAAAGTTTTCACTTCGTGCCATAGAGGTAATGCCTCCATATTTTCAGAGCAAAAACTACCGTTGCCAACTCCAAATCATGAGTCGGGTAGTTCTTTTCATGCTCTTTCAATTGTCGAGATGCATATGCGATCACCTTTTCTCCTTGGGTCAAAACACAACCCAATCCAACCCCAGACGCATCGCTATAAACAACAAAGTCTTCAAATCCATCGGGTAGAGAAAGTATCGGTGCCTCGCATAGCTTCTTCTTTAGCTTCTCGAATGCTTCTTTATGCTTATCACTCCAAGCATAAGTAGCTCCTTTGTGGGTCAAAGCTGTTAATGGAGTAGCGATAGATGAAAAGCCTTGGATAAACCTTCGGTAATATCCGGCTAATCCCAAAAAGCTTCAAATCTTCGTGGGACTTTTTGGTTGTTCCCACTTCATCATAGCTTCAATCTTTGCTGGATCAACCATTATCCCTTCTTGGTTGACCACGTGACCTAAGAATTGGACTTCTCGAATCCAAAAATCACATTTTGACAACTTAGCATACAAATTCTCCTTCTTCAAGACTTCTAACACTTCTCGCAGGTTTCTGCCATGCTCCTCTTGGCTTTTCGAATAAATTAGAATGTCATCTATGAACACTATCACAGATTTATCTAGGAACGGATTACAAACCCTGTTCATTAAATCCATGAATGCTGCTGGAGCATTGGTTAGCCCAAACGACATAACCAAAAACTCGTAGTGTCCATATCGTGTTCTCAATGCAGTCTTCTCTATATTCTGCTCTCTTACTTTCAGCTGATGATATCCTGACATAAGATCGATCTTTGAGAAATAGCTCGAACCTTGTAGTTGATCGAACAGGTCATCAATCATCAGCAATGGATATCTATTCTTTATTGTTGCCCTGTTCAGCTCTCTATAATCGATGCACATTCTCATACTTCCATCTTTCTTCTTCACAAATAACACCGGAGCTCCCCAGGGTGCTGAACTAGGTCTAATGAAACCTTTGTCCAATAATTCCTGAAGTTGCATCATTAGCTCCTTCATCTTCGTCGGTGCTAATCGGTATGGTGCTTTTGCTATTGGCGTTGTCCCTGGTAACAAGTCTATTCTAAACTCCACTTGTCTATCAGGAGGTAATCCAGGAAGATCTTCGGGAAATACTTCCGGATAATCACATACGACAGGAATGCTCCGCATCTCCTTTTTCTCCTTCTTAGCATCGATCATGAATGTTAGATACAATGTACATCCTTTGGCCAAACACTTTCTGGCTTTCATCAATGAAATGATTCCAGAATTTACTCTGTGTTTATCTCCATATACCATAAATGACACTTTCCCAGGCGGGTTTACTTTGACTATCTTCTTCTTGCACAATATCTCGGCGTCATTGGCGCTAAGCCAATCCAGTCCAAGCACGATGTCGAAACCGTTTAGTTCGATAGGCAATAATTCCTCGTGGAATTTATTCCCATTCAAGTCAATTAAGATGTTTTTCATATGATGGATAACAGGTACAAACTTGCCACTAGCAACTTCGACTAATAAAGCATTATCTAGTCTATCGACAGGCAAAGCTAGTTTTCTACCAAATTCATGCGAAATAAAGGAGTAGTTGGCTTCAGAATCAAATAAAATTTGGGCAGACAATTTGTCATCTGGAATGCTCTTGCCTTCGGCTATGGCGGAATGTTGGGTCTTGCTGCCTCCTTCTTTTTCAGGCAGTCACTCGACATGTGTCCATCCTCACCATAACCATAGCAAACTTTCTTAGTGAGGGTGCATTCATTGGCATAGGGTAAACTCTCAAATCTTGTGGTTTTGTTATGATTTCTATGTTATTAAGCACTTAATAAGCTGTATAATACAACTAGAGAAAGGTACTCACGATTTGGGATGAAAACCCAAAGATTCGTGAGAGAGAAATGACTTTTCTCTAGTTGGAAATGTAACTAATGAAATAATTTGGTTAAGAATCATATATATAGTCCTGGAATTTTTGGCAGAAACTATTTTTATTCATGCAATGAACTCTAATAATAAAGTTTTGAAATAACAGAGTTGCACAAAACCCTAGTGCATCCACTCTCCTGATATCTTCTAAAGTGTAAATCCTTAAATACTCTAACTTATACGGAAAAGTCTGAAAATTTACTGTGACTGTTCTAACTTCTATTTACAGAATGGAAATTTCGGGTTGTCACATGACCGTACACTTTCCTCGATTTATGATTATGATTTCTGGGAACTCTGATATGAAACTGTTTTGGAAACCTTTTTGTAATAACTATTGGTATTTTAAATGTTTTTGAAAGTTTAAATTTGGTATGAATTTTATGGGTGTTACACACTTAGAGATGGCAAAAAAACTCTTACCCAACGGGTACCCGAAACCCTAACCCGAGTTGATCGGGTAAATCAGCGAGTTGATCGGGGATGGGGACGGGGATGGGTATTACCCAAATATAAAAAGCGGGGATGGGGATGGGGTTGGTTTTACATGTCGGGTACCCATACCCGTACCCGAAACCGGCCCCGATGGGTACCCGATATATATATATATATATATATATATATATATATATATATATATATATATATATATATATACACATACATACATACATACATACATATATATATATATATATATATATATATATATATATATATATATATATATTATTTATGTTTTTATTTTTAATAAGGCATAAGCAAATGTTCATTAGACAAAATAAGGTTTTCTAACAATCAAACGTATGGTTGTGGGAAGACTTTTTATGTCTTTTTTTGCAAAGAATGATTTAATTTGTAACCTTGAATGTTATTGTTCGTGTTTAAAAACATTCAGTGATTATAGTGTTATATATTAGTTATGTTAGTTTTTGTTTTGTTGGTTAATATATAATTATGAGTAATTTTTCATAAAAGTTCAAAACTTTGTAACGAGGAAAAATCCCCGATTACCCATTGGGGATCCTCGATACCTATTGGGGATGGGGATGGGGATAGATTTTTAATCCCCGATGGGGATGGGGTCGCGTATGGGGATGGGGATTGGGATTCGGGTATGGAGACAGGGAACACGAAATCCGGTATACCCGTACCCATTGCCATCCCTATACACACTCTCTTTCTCTCTCTCATACATACATTAAAAAACACATACTCAACAATATACTTAAAATTTGATACACAAGATTGTATCTCTCTCTCTCTCACACACACACACACATGCACGCACATTGTTTATGAAAAAAGTCACAAAACAAGGCATTGATATCATCCCAATCGACATTTCAAAACCACTCATCAATCAAGGAAGTCCTTTGACTGCATCCTTCACAAGGTCTGCAACCGTGAATGGAAACTCGATCTCCACCATTTCCCTAACAATAACCCCAACGCAAAAATCATCGACCCTTTTTCAGCCTCCTCTACGATAGTGAAATAAACCCAGATCCTGTAATGGGAAATCAAAACACCCAAAATCGAAGCATCTGACTTCATCATCGTCGTTTCCACCTAAATCAAAACACCGAAATTTGAAAAACACAAAATTAACATAATTATTATGGTGAGTATGTATGTGTGTGTGTGAGAGAGAGAGAGGGAGAGAGAGTAAAGGCGTACCAGTTATGTTTGTTCTCCTCTTTGATATTGAGGTATGTTCTTTTACGTTGAAAAATCGATTCAATTTCGAGAATTTCAAGATAAATTAATGGAGTTCTTTTGATTTTCGGATCTCTGAATCCCCAAATGCTGCGAGCAGTCATTTTCTAAATTTGTTTCAATTTAAGATGTTCTTGTGCTTTGAAAAATCGATTCAATTTGAGATGTTCCTTTATGAATCGTTTCATCAAAAAATATCTACAAACTCTAGGCATACGCGGTCTTTTTCCTCCTTCCATTACAAATTAGATAACCCCATGTTGATTCAAGAAAAGCCAATCCCCTTCCTTTTTTATGAGTCATTGGTCTTGAAGTGGTGTTCGGTGAGAAAAGAGAAAAGAGAAGACGAAAGATATATATATATATATATATATATATATATATATATATATATATAGAGAGAGAGAGAGAGAGAGAGAGAGAGAGAGTACTAGTATGAGGGTGTTTAGCAAATTTTAAGGGAAGAGATTATGTAAGGACCCACTTTTTTATTTTTAATATTCTGTATTAGGTTAATATTAAAAAAAATATCAAATAAAATAGAAAAAAAATATGGCCAAGGGTAATAAAGTTTTTTCATATTTGCAAGGGATAAAAACACAACAAAATCTAAACTTAGGAATGGTCTGAGTACAAAACAAATTTTAGGGACCAAACATGTAATTTTGACCAAACTACAGGGATGATTTCAGTAATTTATTCAAAAAAAAGTTAGCACAAACACTAGTCCTAGAAACAACAGAAGAAGTATGGGGAAAGGGTAAAATTCATAAACCTATAAACAGTTCACTAATATACTGAGACTAAAGCAATCCTTCTCAGCTCTCGCATTTATCTAAGCAGGATAGGAGGGAAAAGATAGGAAATGTCATTTTGGTAGAATTGGGTTCATAAAAGTAAATGGTACCACTAATCATTTCAATTTAACCATAATAATGCAAAAAATAAACATGATGACCCTAGCAACTTCTGTGGTTTTCACATCATTCTTAGTTGCATTCGAATTCCAGTCCCTAGGATCTAAGGAAAACCTATGACTGCTGACTTCCATAACAACCTGATTGATAATCCATATGTATTTAGTATTTACCAATCCAAAGCCAACCTCATACACATGTACCCGCCGCATCTTTTCTTGTACATTGACCATTACTCACATGAATTCTTGAAAAGTACTGCAACATACATGTACCTAATGCATCTTTTCTTGCAATTAAGCTTCCAATATCTTTTAAGAACTCAGCAAATAACACAAGCATTGGGATATTCCTCTACGATTTGAACATAGTAATTCTATATCATGAAAGGCTTGTACTTGGCTGGTCCAGCAGTCACTAGCTCTGCGTTGCAAATTTTTCTAAGTTTTCTGACGGCATCAACTGGATCAATGTCTCCGATCAATGTCATTTTCTTGTCATGCATGTTCATTGCTAAGGACTCAACACCTATAAATATTTGGATAAAAAGTTTAGTCAAACTGATGGCAATGAAATGCAAATAGAATGAAAAAGAAAACAAACACAATATTAACCTGCAAGGCTGATAGCTGCTTTCATAGCCCTCCGTTTTTCTCTATCGTTGTGTACACCCACTTTCACAACTACTTTCTGCAATTGGATACAAAGTAACCAACAAACAAATGTTAATCTCAATAATGACGCTAAAAAGCATAAGTTTGATAATGGTTTTGAAGCATAGTAGTAGGATTTCTTCTGCTTATGCTCTTTATCTGTGATCACAAGGTTCAGAAGCAATTTTATTTTAACTTTCCTATTTTTGACTTCAATTTTTGTACCATAGGTATGATATCAAGATGGAAACAATTTTTTCGTGGAATATCCCTTCAAATGTTGGAATGGTAAATGTAAAAAACCGATTAACAAAACAGATTTCAACCCCCACAAAAACAAGCCCAAATAATTCTGCTTATTCCTTAATAGAAACACTCGATGCAGAAAATTTAAAGATATGTTGGTAAAAGAAGTTACTGAAAGGAAATAAGCCTCAAAACGTAAACAAAAACTGCACAACCTTCCTAGAAACAGTAAAAACCACTACAGTAGAAGGCAAAGTAGGGGAAATCAGGGGGGGAGTAGGAAACACGGATAGGGAGACAGATGGAAATGTGAATTGTGTAATGTTAACTGAGAATTCTGCAAATTAAAAGGTTGAGAGCATGAACTAAGAAGTGGAAAACAGTCAAGAGACCTGTAGGCAGAAGTAAGGTTGCCATAAGATCTTGATAGAAGACTGTGAATCATGTTTGAGTGTAAATGTACTTCTATCTTCACGTTCATTGTCCCAAAATTCTGAGCAATCTGCTGCTACTTTTGTTGTTTGCACCTGATCACCTTTATTTACCCTAGGAACAAGCTCAGCTCCAATATAACTCTCAGCTTCTAATGAACACACATATCCTCTGTGTAAGGAAAATGAAATGATATTGTATGGTGAAGTCACCAATGAGGTCTGCCTCAATGAACCAAAGGAAACATATCCTATGAATATTGTTTTTCCATCATATTCATTTGACTCTTGCATAAGCTCAAATGGTGGATCTTCATCAGGCTGTTGCTTGATAATTATATCAACATATGGAGATTTCATGTGGGTTACAATGCATATTAAGAACCCAGAAAAGTCATTGTACCAATCATGTGGAAGATGCAGTGTAAATGTTTCCCCCCTAAACAGCCTACCTGCAAACCTTTTTGGGATCTTCTGATGATCAAGAGTGACACTGACAAAATGACCTTCAAGAGCAATTCCCTGAGATGGAAAACACATATAAATTATGATTAATATGCTTGGATTTATATAATAAAAGATTAAAATTGCAGAGCCAAATTAACCTGGAGCATGGAGTCTAGTAATATGTCACCAACAAGTGTACCAAGCTTGTTCTTGCAAAGTGAGAGGCTCCACAACAACTTACAGTTTGAAACATCTCCAAGGCTTTCAAGTGATGTACACCAATCTGCTCTAAGAACGGCTATACTTGATGGCAACTCGGACAATTCTACAAGTTTTTCACAGCGGGACACATTGAGCCATTTGAGCCGAGGAAGCTGAAAGAGACTAAAATTTAGTTGTGAAAAATTATTTCCTGATAGATTGAGTTTTTCCAAGTTAGGTAAATCCCAAACAGCAGAGCGGATCTCTTTATCTCCCAAATTGCAGTACCAGAGATGCAAATTTCTTAAGCCTCTGGAAAAAAACTGCAACATTGTGTGGTGATTCATGTTGCTGTGAGGTAGAAAAGGCTCCTCTAAACAACATTCTTCTACATCAATGAAGTCATCTCCTGATTTCTTAACTTCAGTGTCACCACATGCCAAGCAAGTAACAGAAAAGTTGGTTGAATTTTTTTTACAAGATGCAACTTCTTTTCCACTATTATCCAAATGAAGATGGGGTAAATTGCTCATGTTCTGTTGTTGGAGCTTAACAATTTTGGGGCAATCTGATAACAAAAAGGTCATGAGTTTATTTAGTTGGGTAACGGGTGGAAATATCTTAAGACTTGGACAATCATCTATACATAAGAAAATAAGGTTTTCCAAGCGTCGAATTGATGGATGAATCTCTTCTATATGCAGAGAATTATGAAGAATGAATCTTTCAAGATTTGGAAGTCCATCAAAATCTGGTGTCTTGATTAGGTTTTCCAAACCATAGAGTTCCATCACTTTCAAGCGTTGAATTGGCGGATGAATCTCTTCTATATATGGAGAACCATTAAGAATAAATCTTTCAAGATTCGGAAGTCCATCAAAATCTGGTGTCTTGATTAAGTTTTTCAAGCCATAGAGTTCCATAACTTTCAAACTCGGCAGATGCTGTTGCATAAACATACAAACAAGTCAAAAGTATATCAAGCTATAATAGGAGTTTTTAGTGGTTTCACCCGTAAATCAAACCAGACCAGAGTAACCCAGTCCAAATAACCAGCATAGAAAATGAATTGTACATGTAATGTGGAGCTTACAATTTGTACATAACATTTGATCCTAACAATTTAATCTTTTTCCTCAACAAAAATGAAGATTATCCATACATATATAACAATGTGATGTTGCTTAATGACACCAATAACTGCCACAGTGACAAAACTATGTGCTCATATCCATCTAACTGCTACTTACAATTTATTCCATGAATTACTCAGGTCTATAATTATTCATCCACTTTGTTTTCATCCAATAATTAGACAAACAATAAATGTTACCTTATAACCCTCCCAAAGTTGTTTGTGCGAGACGCCATCCAATCTTAGACAACAAAGCTCCACCGATGGAAATTTAGTAGGAAAAGGAGTTGCAAGATTACCTCTCCAGTCAATCCACCGAAGGTTTTTCATGTTCACAACAATTGGAGGAACAAGTTTTACTGAACCATAACTATTGTCTTCAAATCTTATCGCTTCAATCATGTCAAGTTCCTGTGATAGAGGAACAAAATGATGTCAGGTTGGGTTAAAAGTGTTTTGTTATATATATATATATATATATATATATATATATATATATATATATATATATATATATAATGCCAAGCTAGCTTAACCATTACCGTCGTTGCATCCATAGCACATATTTTTACAACATCTTCCTTCTTCCAAATTCTACTATGTTTTCCAGGATTGCTAGGGTGTTCCCCTCTAACAATGTGGTGTCCCATATCTTGCACCAGATCATGCATATCAAATCTTCCATTCCTAGAAATAGTTATGAGAGCCTTTTGTCTCAACACCTCTATTCCTATAACAGGGTGAAAACCACAAGCATCAAGCATCGCCATTATCCCTTCATTTTTATACTGTCCTCTATAGAAACATGCAATATCAAGGAACAACTCTTTCTCATCCTTTTGAAGTCCATCAAAGCTGATTTTTAGCTTTTCCACAATATTGGTATCTGGGATCTTTTTCAGTCTGGCTAACGCACTCCTCCACTCGTTAATACCTTTATCACATAGAAAACAACCAAGAACTGTAAGTGCTAATGGGAGCCCACCAGCATAGTAAACAACTTCTTTTGAGAGTAGCTCATAATCTTCTATACGTTTGTCACCCCGAGGTGCATGCTTGCAGAAGAGATCCATGGCCTCAACATTTTTTAACAAGGTAATTTCATGTATCACGTCGACTTTGTGAATATTTAATAAATGCACATCTCTAGTTGTGATAATTATTCGGCTTCCTTCACCGAACCAATCATGTGATCCAGCCAACGCTTTTAGTTGTTCAATGCAATTGACATCATCAAGAACAATCAAGACCTTTCTATGGCATAACCTACTCATTATCATTCGTTTTCCCTCCTCAACTCTCCCCACCTGCACTTGCCTTCGCTTCAAAATACCATAAAGAATTTTTTCTTGTAGTTTTTCCAAACCATTCTTACTTATTGATTCCTCCCGAATATTTTCGACAAAGCAAAAGCCATCAAAGTTGCTAGAGATTTCATCATAAACAGAAGATGCAAGAGTAGTCTTACCACCACCCCCAACCCCCCATATCCCAACCATGTGCACACCACCCGATCCAATTCGTAAATCCGATTTCAAACCTTGAACACGAGCCGTTATTCCAATCAGATTGCCATTTGTACTTGGAATTACTCGTTGTAAGCTGTGTGAAATGTGGTCAACAATTTCTTTGATGACCTTTGCTTCATGCCTACACATTGATATACATGGATAATTAACACATGCTCACACTGACAAAAGAAGTAATTTGTTTCATGGACCATTAAATGAAGAAAAGGAGTCTAATGACCCTTTATATCTAGTCAAAATAAAATTTGTAAAGTTAATATAACAAGTAGTTTGTAAAACTTTTCTTTGTAAACATTGAATAGTGTCAAACAGCAAAAAGTGAAACAAGATGAATTTGTTGTTGTAGCTTGAAGTGAGGCGTTAAGTACGGAATAAGAATTATAACATAGTAACATCTATCATAACTTAATTTAAGGTTATCCATAATCCTAGGACTTGAGACATCTATTAACTTACCAAACTGATCAATTGAACTATTCAAGCCGCAATTTATCAAAGTCATCAGCATTATTAAAATAATTAAAACATTTGTATAAAAAGCTTATAAGATACAAGTATAAATATGTTGTAGGTCGCACATATAATTTAAGAATAAAAAGTGCAAAAACAAAGAAAGATATCCGTTGGCAACATGCTTGGGATCCCATCCAGAAATGTTACTTGCATCCACAAGTGCTTTTCTCCAAGATTCAACCTTGGCCTTGTTCTCCAACTCATGCTTGGCCAAGGCTTCATGGTATTTCCGACTCTGTTCTCGAGGTGCAGAGAGCCATCCCCAAGGGTCATCCACAAAAGCTTGTCTCCAAGATTTAATTTTCTTCTTGTTCTCCAACTCATGGTTGTCAAATGCTTCTCCATATTTTCGTTTCTGTTTTCGTACTTCAGAGGGATCCACTTCATAAAATATGGGCATAACAATTTGGCATTTCGTTTTCTTGCATTCCATAATATGTACAAGTTCATCTAAGCACCATGAAGAATCTGCATAATTTTCAGAGAATATGACAACAGCAATCTGAGATTCTTCTATAGCCTTCAAAAGGGATGGACGGATTGAATTGCCCTGAGGAAGTGTTTCATCGTCCTTGAAAGCGTAGATTCCTTGGTTTTCAAGAGCCGTGTAGAGATGATCCACAAAAGTCTTGCGAGTATCTTCTCCTGTGAAGCTAAGAAAAACATCATACTTCCATGATTGAGAAGAAATGGCTGGAGCAGAAGGAGAAAATGATGATGAAGATGCCATTGGTGTGTTGATTTGTTGAGATAGAAGGTATGTGGTTTAAGCACACCAATATAATGAAATTTATATAGAGAAATGTGAGTTTCCAATAGAACCTGTTATCATATAAAGAAAACCTCGTCAGATTACCATGTACAAAATCTAATAACTAGTCCTTACATTCTTTTTTATTTTATTTTTTTTGTCATAAAAGCTCCTTTGAAACTATAATACACATCATGATTCAAAAGATAGACATGAATCGGTTTAGGTGATGTAAGTTAGTTTTCACACAATCACATTATACAGATTAATCTTTTACTTTTAATTCTACATTGAAATTTTTCTTAAAAGACGTGGAGGAAATTTCCCAGCATCACCAAACTTTAGCACACTCCTTTCTTAGAGAATTAGACTCTTTACTTTGCAAGATTGTACTTCAATTCCATAGGATTTGTTCCTTAATACCTTCTTTCAAGTTGAATTGATTTGAGTAAGTGAATACCTTTCCTTCCTCCACCGCTTGACTATTCTCTCTCAATTCTCTAAATAGGTTTAGCCATCGAGTAGATGTAATGAACAAATAGTTATAATTCTCTTATATATTTACACGTGTTTTGTAGTTTCAGCATTTGGCCACCACACTTCTGGATTGTACGTACATTCCCACCCTAAAATTATATTTCATCAATTATGTTATTTGCCAAATAACTTATAGCCCCAAATTTCAGCATTTACTCCAAATACATATACACCACTATTTGACTTACCCTTCCATACAACAAGATATGGAATTCATCAAATAATAACTTAGGTCGTATTTACATAATTAGTATTTCAAAATTTGTAGGTATTACAGTTCTCCTGCCTTGAAACAGATTCTGTCCCCAAAATATGACAAGGGAAAACATCTCAGGCTCATCTCTCCTAGTTTCATCTTCAAATTCTCATGAAGCAGTGTCACCTCAAGTAGTTTCCTAACAAACATAATCTAATGTCTCCTCATCTTTAGCATCATCATCCTCCAGCAGAAAATATCCCACATTATTGTTTCCTAGATTTTGTTCTCTTTGGATCACAACGGATATGTACACAGTTATAATTTAATGTCATCATCTATCTCTCACAGATAAAGCCTTCACGATTCTTCACCAAGTCACTATTATATTACAACTTTCACAATTATACCATTTATTATAAAATTCACTCATAATCATCATTCGGTATAAGTCCATTAATTTACCATCATATAAACATACAACCCTAACCTATTAGTTTCATATCGCTTATCTTTACAAACCTGCCTGCCCAAAACTACAGATGATATATGGGTCTACATCATACTTCCATTAAGCCTAAGCCTATGACTCCATCTCATTTCAATTATTCTACTAATAATCATCTCATATACCTTACAGCAATTTACCCTACTTCTGATTTTAGTCCTCTACTGTGTTGCCTTTAACACTTATCAGGTTCTCAACTAATGATGCATAGAGTGTCTAAATAAATGACCATACCATTCATCATGATTTAACAACAATATATCTATGATCATGTGCCAATCCCCAGTCAAAGATTCGTTTAAATGTCCCCAGGCCCCTGTTCGACTGTTTTTTAGTATCCACAACACATATACACATCATTACACTCGTTTTCCTCCAATTCCGTTTGATTATAACTTACATAACAACATATTAACTTCATAAATACTTTAATTCAATCATCTAACTATACTAATTTGAGTAAATTAGATGAAAATACGTTTCTGACATTCCAGATCAACACTATTCTTAACATTTTATAAAAATTTACCAAAAAACTTGTATAAAACTGCATTAATACTTCAATTTCTTTATTGATAGCTTATACTTTATCAATTTATCACTTTGAGGAATATACCTCAAATTTCCAGCAACACCAGACTTTAGCAGACTCCCTTTCTAAGCTCTTTACTTTGCAATCAACTTACTTTTGCAAGCTTATACTTCAATTTCTTCTTTCAACTTGAATCAATTTGAGTACATGGATACCTTTCTCCACCGTTTCACTTTCCTAGCTCCAGAGCCCCTCCAAAATTGATGGAAAGAACATTCTTTTGAAAACGAGTTTTTCTTGGTAAAATTATTGACAGTTAGAAAAGGACAAATTTAGCCAAAATTCTTTATTAGTTTCCAAGAAATAGCGAAAATGACCCAAATAACCAACAAAATTGCAGTTGGGACTTCATGGGCTACAGTGCCGTGTATTGGGTTGCGATCTCCCCTAAAATCCATCTCTGATAACGTTCATCATACTTAGTTGTCACACAATGGTGGCAAATAATCAGTATAATCTCAAGCCCAAGTAATCATACTCAACTCTCATTCAGCAGTACAAATCATAACAAGTATATAAACAAGTTACCAAATAGCAACATGCCAGCTCTTAGGCCATTTCAATCCTCGAGTGTGTTACACTAACACTTACCATTACCTTAATTCACACATGTGATGTCTCTTTTAACCTATTATGCTCCTCGAACCTTTCAGAATAAAAGTTTCACTATAATCACCAGAGTTTGCTAAATGAGCCTTGTCAATTTATAACTTTCACCGCTTACACCTAGGGTTTAAACTAGCACCTAGGGATTTCGAAGATAGCTTCGCACAAACTCCCCTGTTTTTCATAGCAATGAAGATAATAAGAATGTGTAGCCTAAATGATAAGCATGAAAGCATAAACTCCACAATAAATATAAATGTACAAATTTTATAACAAAAGTAAAAAGTAAAATCTCCATGACACTTATAAATACATGCCTTTCAGCTTTCACATGTTAACACTACCTCAACCATTAGTTGACAGAACCTGCATAATATATCAAAATTTTTGCTTTATATGCCCATCCATCATAATCCAGCACCTTTAGTTCTATCTATCAATTCCAACCAAGAACATTATCGTGTGAATTACAAACACTTTCCCCTACCCTCTCCATGATGAAATTATCAGTTAGCTTAATACAACTTGCCACCATCTTTATTCTCAACTAATGATGCATAAAGTTTCAAGTTTGAAGACCATATATACCTTTCATCATATGTGAACACCAATCTATATTGTGCCAATGCTTTAGATGATAATTATGTTTTAGGTGGACCCATGTTTACACCAAAAGAGCATTTCCATCATTAACCGGACTCATTTTCAAACACTCAAACACATCAATTGATAAGTGGTTAACAACTAGTAACTTTTATTTGATTATAATGTTATCTACTTATCATGAATTTCCCAAATAGTCGATGCTTTAATTTTAACGTAGCAAAGCAATATATGAATTTAAATAGTGCCAGGCATACATGGATTACTCGATAAACACACACTGGGGACCAATCCCCTCTCAAAGCATCGATTAAATGTCCTCATCCTCCTGTTAGACTTCTTTTTGTATACACATCATTAGACTTATTCCCCCCTAATTACATTCGTTTATAACACACATAACAACATATTAACTTCAAAAAAAAATGTTTAAGTGACTCAGCTAGCTATACTAATTCAAATAACTACACAACTTTGACTAAATTAGGTCAAAATAACATTCCAGATCCACATTTTTCTTAGCTTATTGGTAAAAATCCAGTCAATAACTTGTATAAAACTTCATTAACACTTCAATTTATTTATTGATAACCTATAATTTATCAATCTATGAGTTTGAGGAACGTACCTCAAATTTCCAGCAAGACGGAACTTTAGCAGACTCCTTTACTTTGCAATCAAACTTACTTTTTTGCAAGCTTATGCTTCAATAGTTCAATTCAATTTCTTCGTAAGTTCTTTCTTTCAACTTGATCGATTTGACTGGGTTAATACTTTCCTCCTCTATCTCCCGACCACGGTGCGAAGTGTTGGTCATTAAGCCCAAAAAAAGCTGTGGCAGCCCAAAAGCCTTGAAACAGCCTATTCTCTTCTGGGCCCATGGCTTCTACAAATTAACGTGGGCTTCCGTTCAAATCTATGGGTTATATATATTCAAATCAATATCGTTCGTTCAAGATAAGTTTATATATCTTTGAACTATATATTCATTTAAACTTCCAAAATTTTTAATTTATTATAATTAGTTAATATATTAATTGTAACATGTTACCTATATAAAAACATTATTTTTCACGTTTTTTTTATACTTTTAAATTTTGTTAAGTAGAATACATAAAAATTAAAGAAAAATATTGTAGTTTTCATATGTCTAAAAGAAACTATTCAATGATGAAATACATTGTGACGATAGGATCTTCTTTGTGTGTATCAAAAATTTAAAAAATCAAGTCATTTGATTGATTTAAAGCAAATATTATCAAAAAATCAAAGTTATTGAAATTATACGGTCTCAAGTTTCTTTCTATTTTTTGTAATTTTTGAAATTTAATTTAGATGATATTTTTATGTTTCATATATTACAAATAGAACCCATAAATACATTCTTGTTTTAGATTATAAGCGTGAAAGATCTTGAAGTAACAAACAATCAACGTTGATGTAAATTTTATGATGTTGGATCATTCTTTAAGTATAAAAGTATTGTTTCTCAATAAATTAAGTAATTAGTCAATTGTACTATAATGTTATGATTGTAGCGGAAATGATTAGAGATGTTAGGGGTGTTTATTGACACATATAATCTAGACTTTTACCATGTTCTAATATAGCATGAATAAGCTATGAAATATTAAAATACTGACATGAATAATACATGTTATTTTAGATATTTAATTAGTTCTTTTTGGAAAACAAAAATATTTTTATGATCATATACATAAAAGACTACTTTATATTTTGTTTCTTTATAAAAACCATTGTGATTTGAAAATATTCTAAAAAGTCATTAATGAATAGAAATTTTGGTTTTAACTCAAATTTGAATTTTGTCATATTAGTAGTGATGACCAATAATGTGCTATAATAAATCAATATTGGTGTTTTAAAAAAAAACAACATTTAAGTGAGATACAAAAAAATAGGCAATGAGTTGCGAA